GTAGCAGCTTGTTTCTTTTCTACACTGAAATCCCCTGCATCATTTGCACAGGTGAAAAACTCAAACTCAATCCTGAAAAGATTCTGATGACCTGCACACTGCTGTGGACTCGTTTTCTTACACAATTAAGGCAATGCACTGTGGTAAATGTGGTAATTTTGCGGTACTGTACTTACTATTTATGTCAAACTAGGCTACCATGACTGTAAATTGACCCATATACAGAAGCAATCTGTTCCTGTGTGGATGTGAAGTTTATTTGCCCAATAAATAAAAGACTTCTTTACTCAAAATTTCCGATTTTTGTACAGACATTTTGGTTTTGTTTGGTTTTTTTTTAGAATAAAATTCTCGGCCTTAAAGGTAGGCGACGGGGGACGGGACTTTTAAAGCGCTTGGTCTTTAAATAAAGTCTTCAATACACAATGAAGCCGCTGATGAGAATCTAGAAAGGTACAGTTCCTGTTTTCCCATAATTCAGTGAAGTGGTTAGTATTAAAACGCACTTTTACGAAGGGTTCATGAACTCATCAATCTTGTAAAGCCGTTCAATTAAAAAAAAATATATATATATTTCTTCTTCTGACTCATAATTATGTGATATGAAGTACACGAAGCCTTCCAGGCTACATTCCAGAAAACATCAATAGCATGTTTTTATGCTTTTTGAATTCAATATTTGCTCTGTGTTCTTGCCTCCGTCCCACATTGTGCGGTTTACAGGGAAACTGTGACCTCGTCTCTGGGCCGGTGGCGGCTGCTTATATTTCACTGCATCCTGACTTCTGTGACATGTACTAGCCTATGTTGGACGGGGTGTGTGTGTCGGGGGGAGGCGGGGGGAAGGGTACAAAGAGGAAGAGGGTGTGTGTGTACAACTCTGTGTGTGTGGTTTCAGGAGGTGGGGGTGAAGAATGCTTGGTATGTGCGGACGACGACAACATGAAAGGCGGCGAGGGTTGAGCCCAAACTGATTGTGCTTCCCAAAATCAAACCCAAACCCGCTTTGTGTCTGAATTTCGACCGAGCCTCAGACACCACACGTCCGTTTATCGCAATAAGCAAGCGTAAGCTGCGAGTTTTTAGGTGGCGGCAACGCAGTTTATTTGATGTCAAACACCCTGCAGAGGCGGAGATGGTTTAGTCTGTAGTAGGTGGGACTGCCGAGCGGTCTGCAGCAGGACGTCGTAGATCAATGAACCGGACCGGAGGGCTGGTCCATCGCCTGGTGTGCATCTGACTGTATAGATGTAACAGTGTACCTATGCGGGACCGAGGCTTCTTTTTTAAAGTGTCCAGCAGCCGTTCATGATGCGGATGTTATAAAGCGACTGGCTATTTGATAGGCTCCCGAACCCCGCTCGGATTTCGTCTCTATAGTGGCTCTCATCGGTGCGATTTTTTTCCCTTTTTTTCTGGGGGGGAGGAAGTAAAATCCATCTGTAACCTCCAGGATGATCTTTGCAAACACGGGCAACCCGCCGAAGACAGCCAATCGTAAGCAGGTAGGCCAAACACACACACATACACACATTGGGTTTTTCCCCCTTCTTCCTACTTTTTTTTTAAATCACACTTTGAGGGGAGAAAATGGGGTGAATGATAGCACATGACATTGGAAAGCCATTTCAGGATTTACATGCATTCACGCCACATTCTGGTAATAATTAAACCCCGTTTGGAAAGCAGATCATCTGCTCTCAGCACTTGTCAAAAGGGGAAACCTAATAAGATGAAGAGATTTAAAATAATAATAATAATAAAGATAAAATCCGAGCCGATCTGTAGCTGTACAACCGATACTTTAATTATTACGTCCGTATAACCTTGCTGGCCAACTCTGGTCAATGTGCATGACGGTTGTAGTCCATTTTATAGGTTAATGCATTCTGGTTGGATCCAGAGAGGGAGAGAGAGAGAGCTGGGATGAATGTCAGTGTGCTGGGTGAACTATGCAGCCTGCCTGCCTGCATTCTTCTTTTTGACCTCTCAGGTGAAGAGAAAAGGCTGGTCTGAATGAAGGCCGTGCCCCTGTGCTTTTCCATCTGAAGATGGAAGATGGAAGGAGAGAGGCGGCGGGTGTTTAACCTCTGCCGCTAACGGAAATGTGAACCCTGCTTCAGATAAGGTGGAGCGAGGGTTCAATTTTCTTGTAATATATATTCATCGGAAGGTACTGTACGTTACTTTGAGGACGGGGATGTGAATCCGATCTCCTATGAATCCCTTCAGGGGGAGAATGAATCTTCAGTGTAGGTGTTTAATCAGCTATAAGAGGGCCCTGCGTGTAAAATATACCATAGCTGCCCTCTAATGGAGAAGCTTTGATGGGCTTTTTTTTTTTTTTTAGCTTTAACTTAAGCTTTGTAATTGCACACCAACAAAAGTGTAAGGCCTCTACTTGAACACATAAGAGACCTAACAGATGTTCCTGCCACAGGTATCAGGTCTTCACGTGTGAAAGAATAATACCTGCTTTGAACATTTAGCCCTAGTTGGCCTTGTTTGGCCCATGTGCACAGTTTTGGCTCCTAAAATGTGGATTGTATTTCGGTTATGGACAGATGGTGTTATTTTGCCACGCTTTGTCTTTGATCTGATCTGGAGAGGGTTGCGGTGGCTGGTGGGGGGATTTTAATGAATGAGTAAAGGGAAGGAAATGCTTTGCAGGGCAGTGGTGTGGTTTGGTGTGCAAGTAAGAAAAAAAAAGGAAGTGTCTGTCTGATGTCAGACCCAAAGGCCCACCTATAAGAATGCACAGGAAATTTGTCTTTTTACAGCTAAGGGGTTAAAGGGCAAACCTTTTACTCAGTTTAAGAAAAGGTAGAGAATTCAAGGAGTTCCTCTGTGACTCTAAGTCAGATAAGCGAGTTAAGAACACGCATGCATCGATGGAAATATGGAAACGTACAAAATTATTATAAGAACATATTCAAGATGTAGGAAAGCTGCTTTTAGGCTGCTGTCCCTTTAAATAATTTAATTTGTTTGATTGCTTAATTTTAGGCACCTCTATGCACAACTGGGTAGTTAATTAGTAACATTTGTTAATATTTGTTGGGTTTTCTGTGATCGGCATCACTGCAAACTCACCAAATGTGTAGCAAGCCTTATTCTTTAAAAGGAATGTGAGTGGCATGCAAGCAAATAACCTAAAAGCAGTTCAAAGTTGGCCAATCCTTGAGTCCTTCTTCTGCTACCACCGGACCTGTTGTGGTCTCAGGTGTGTCTCGCTATAGAAAACCAACTGAAATGCACCTCTTTAGTGAGCAGTGCTTATTGATGTTAGACGAGTACTGCATGGACTAGTGCAGACAGCGTTTTCCCTGTGTGTTTGTCACACTGATGAAATGTTCTTGTGATCACGCTTGACCTGAGTTTAAATTAGATTATCCAGCTCCCGTACATTTCCTAACAGTGTGTTTCCTGTGTGCAGTCCTACCCCATGACTCCGTCCAGTCCCAGCAGCAACAGCAGCAGCAGCACAGGCCTGGAGCAGCTCAGCAAAACTAACCTTTACATCCGTGGCCTGCCTCCTGCCACGACAGACCTGGACCTGATCAAACTCTGTCACCAGTGAGTTCGTGCTCATATACGCTTATGGCTGTGCAAACTAATGTTTTGTCACTTATTGTACTTTGCAAATGAAAAGGGGTTGAATAGTAGCTCTAAAAAAGGACAGCAACAGTTTCTAAAAATACATTTTAATTGAAAGAATATATGACAAATTCAGGCTCAGATAATGGCCCAGAAAAGACAAAATATAAGTAGTTTGCGCTAAAATAACTCACAAAATTGAAAATTATTTATTAATTTTTTTATGTAAGGGATTTCTTATGGTACACGAGCAGCACTTCAGTGGTTCACCAGGTCGATAAGCTCCACACACTGGGAATCACTGATCCACAGGTTACTGAAGTCCTGCTATTGACCCTTGAGTGTTTTCGCCATGATCGTCCTGCTGTTTAAATTTGCAGCATTAATTTGAACTTTTGTTCAGTGTAATCAGAAACTAGCAATTGTGACCATAAATGTATCAGGAACATGTTAACCGAGGTCCCAGTCCAGGGGTTTCTATCCAGCCCAAAATTTATTGTGGAACCACAAGAGTCGTCCCCTGCTGTTAAAGTCAATCCAAAGTAATTCCACCTTAGATTCACTTTCCACAGCTAGAAGCTAGCTCCATTGTTCAAGAGCTGTCCTCTTTATTGGACATCAAAAGGGGAAAAAAATTATATTCCCCAACCATTTCGTAAGTAGTTGCTTTTTTGTACTACAAGAAAAACCCTTTAGCGATTGCTTTGGTCACTAGCTTGTCTGCAAACACTTGTTAACTACTAGCCAAGTAGTAAACCCTGAAAAAGTGCAGCACAAACTGGAAAAGAATAATGTTTGTCTAGCTAAGACATTTCAAAAGGTGCATTTTTCACAGTTCTACCACCATTTTTAGAATAGTTGGCCAGTGTTGGTAGACAAGCTAGCTGGGTTCATGCAGACTACAGGCGACTGCAGCATTCTGCTAGCAACCAAAAACCATCACAACAAAGTTTTTGCCTATCGGTCAGGGAATCCATTTTTTCCAAGAAATGGATGGTTGTCAGATGGTCGCAGACCGGTCTTTAGGCCTGTGTATCTGGGGTTTTATTCACTTAACTTTAAATTGTCAGCATGATTGTCACGCGTCCAAAAATGGCAGATAAGTTGACATCTCATGGCTGCAAAATCTCAATACTTTCTATGGTCAGCTTGTCTTAGGACAAAGAACAGAAAATAGAAAGCTAACATCTGTACCAGCACAGCATGAAATTGTTACATTTAAGGTTTTTAAAGCTAATTAGTAAGAATTTAAGAGTGGACATGAGACATATTTTGTTCTTTTGGGCAGAATATATATTTATTTTCAATTCATCACATTGTACTAAGCTAAGCAGATTAACAGATAGCGTTAGCCATCAAACACCACCTGTGTTGTGTGGACTCCTGCTTTGATATTACGGCTTTTACAATCTTCAGTTTTTGAAGCCAGAGGTGAGCATATTTGGGGAGGATGGTTGGATTTTTGCTACTCAGTGCTTGGTGACAGGAATATTTCATTCACCATATATTTAGCACACTTCTTAAAACTTTCTCCAAAAGGCACCAACACTACAAACACAGTCGTTGTTGTTGGATAGTAATTCGTTTAAGTAAAGCCTAGCAGTCTGCCTGTTATTGCATAATATTGAGTCTGAATGCAATATAAAGAGGTGAGTTATGATTTCTTGTTATTATTTTGTGTATAACTGGTTTCCTATACAATAAGAAGAGACCTTTCCTGAATATGCTAAATAAATAGCATAAGTGGTTTAATAGTTACTGAAATTAAACTAAAATATTACACTCTTAAAAATAAAAGTCTGTTTGCTGTTTGATGCCAAAAAATCAATGCAGACATGCAAAAACCATGCTGGTTTAACTGTATTGTCCACATAAAAGGTGCCAACCACCATAAAGAAACATATAGAAAAGTCACAGCTCATCTTTGGTATGCAAAGCAGATTGCGAAACCCTCATTCAACTGGTGAGAATGCCTTATACGTGCTGATAGTACAGACGCCAGTCTAAGTGGTTAATGTGGTGGGTTGCCATAATTAGTGCTGTTTTGTCCAATCTTTTTCCTTCTGATTCACAAGCAAATGGAAAAGGACGTCCACTCATGTAACCCGCAGCAGCAACAGCAGCTGTTTGTGTCATGTTTGCTTGTGTTTTGTTCGTGTTCCCAGTGGTGTTTGGCAGCACAAAGCAGAAATGAAAGTGCTTTTCATAGCAACAAGGTCTGAATGGTGATGTAAGCTAGGCATTCAGTGTGTATGGCGTGCGGGTAGAGAAGCTCACAGTTTGTGTCAGAGTTCAACTTGAATGAAAAGTCAGAGATAACGCAAAGCCTGAAACATGTAAACTGAAACCAGTTACACATTGTGTGGTTTAATCGTCCTGTGAACTGTTCTTTTCTTTAACCTCACTGTAAAGTTGAATGAAGGCTCTCCATGTAGAGATTTCTCTGGAAACAAATCCAGAGAAATCTGGATCTGGAAATCTTAAATAATACACAATGAGAACAGTCTCAGCTGTTGATTCATCGTTGTCTTTAACAGTAGTCCACATCTTTTGTGCACGCAGGTATGGAAAGATTCAGTCTGCAAAGGCAATCCTGGACAAGACAACCAACAAGTGTAAAGGTCAGTGAGATCAATAAGTTCTAGCTGCCAAAATATACTAACAGTTCAACTTTAAGTACAGAGAGCCACCTAACACGTGAACACTGTTGAATTTCCACACCTATAAATCAGTGATGACCTGAAGCTAACTGTGAATACGCCCGGTTTATAATTTTGTCACACAACGTGTGCTGTTGTTTTGCTTCGCAGGTGAAAGTGTAGATTGATTGGTAAAATCTTCATTGCATTTTAACACTATGAAGACAGAAGTGTGATAAGTATCACAGAGGTTTCACCGAGTCTCCGCAAATAGATTTAACAGATTTTTACACTTTATGGAAATAAATGGAAAACAGTGCATAATGGCTGGCTGTATAATAAGAAAGCAGATGGTAAGATTCAATGCACTGTTAAAAAATACAGAAAAACTTTCTTCATTTTAAAATGCAGAACATACTGTACTGCATTTTTACAGATCCTTTTCACACTGTTGGAATGCTCTAGAAAATGGTGAAAAGGCATGCATAGAATGTGGGTGAGACATAGATACCGGTTTAAAGGAATAGTACAGCATTTTGATTTCAATACTACAGAAAGGTGGCTGAAAACCAAAGGTTTTGCACAGATAAACAGGATACAATGCATTAATTATATCCTGCTCATTCTGAAGAGGTCCTGGTAGACGGTTATCTTTTTATCTTTCAACAAAGCCAAGTATAGTTTTTAGTGTTTATTCTTAGCTGAGCTTACCCGCTCAAGGATCTTAGTGTTATCAAGCTTCTGGTCTAACTCTGGGGAAGGAAATGAATAAGCAGACTTCCCAAAGCAATTCCTTTAAAAGATTTCCCACACATCTCAATTACAAGATTTCTTTTATGACTCTTTCACGTATAAAATATGTTGTTGTATTTA